GTCAAAGTATTCACCACAAAACAATGGAGGCTTGTTGTTACTACCACCATCTTTGAAAACCGGATTTTGATTTGCGGAAGCCATTCTGGATCTTTAGGAACAAGTTACCTATAACTTGCTCTGATGTCAATTGTAAGTCTAAGAGTGCCTAAGAGGGGGGGGGGGGTGAATTAGGTATATAAAAATTTATTCGGTTTTATGAGAATACTTGTAGTAATTTGTGGTTAAGTGTTTGAAGGTTTTTGACTATATCTTATCTTTTCTTGATTATGGTGATGAAAACGATAAAAGCGGAAAAGTAAAGAACACGGCGATATATCATGGTTCCCCTTACAATCTGAGAGTACTCCAGTCCCCTTTCCAACACGAAAGAGATTTCACTATAGTTTAGAATGATTGTACAACCTATGCTTACTATCTAACCTATAGGGTGACCAAAGGTTCTTAACACCTTTAAGGTCAAACAAACACTAATGTGAATGAAGAACAATCCTCTTCAAATCACAACACTTACTTCCAACAATCCTGGATAGTAAGGGAACACCTTTAAGGTCAAACAAACACTAATGTGAATGAAGAACAATCCTCTTCAAATCACAACACTTACTTCCAACAATCCTGGATAGTAAGAGAATACTTTCTTTTTGTAATACAATGATTTATTTGAAAGAGATGGAGAGCACTATCAATCTTTGATTGATCTTCTTCTTCAAGAAAGAAACAATTCTCAAGCAATGATTATAAATGTTCACAATGAATGTATGAAACTTGTAATGATTTCTTAATGAAAATGTATATGGCAAGTTTCACAAAATTTATGATTTGTAAGAACACTTGAAAGTTTGTAAGAATATGCAAATTTGAATGATGAAAATTGTTAATTGAAGAAGGTTTATTTGAATTTGAAAATCTGCACAATTTATAATGTCACAAATACCTCTTCATTCATGCCATTTGATATGAAAAGATGCAATGCAATCATGAAAGAATACCATTTGAATTATCTTCAAAAAACAAAAGAAAATCTGTACTGGTTCGCTGGGAACCGGTTCCGACCCAGACAGAACCCGGTTCTTAGTGAACGTTATAACCCAGAATTCAAAAATAACACGCAGGAACCGGTTCCCCTATAGGTACAACCCGGTTCCTGGTACAAATTCCAGGGAAGTGATTTTTGAACAAGTTTGGAACCCGGTTCCCTGTTAGGTAGGAACCGGTTCCTGAAAGTTTATTTTCAAAAAATCCTTTTGAAAAAGATTTCAAACAAAGTTTTTCTTATTGTTAAAAATGTGGAATATGTATATGATTATGAATGCATATTTGTGAACATTTATATTCAAGTTTAAGAATTATTTATACCTTTTGACATTTGTTGTTTCTTTAATAATTCTTCTTCTAATCTTCAAGACTTGTAACAAGGTTTTATATGATATTGATAAATTTTTTGCACATCCTTTGAATGTTGATATCCATGTTGTCTTCATCAAAACCAATGCTTTAAACATGACTTGAGAAGCTTGCAATTACATATTCATCAATTAAAACTCAAAATCATTACTTTTCAAGGATTTAAGATTATATTCAAAGCACTAATTCACAACAATGGTGTTCATAAATTTCATATTCACACACTTAATATGCATAAAATTCAGCGACATAACAGATACAAATATACACATTAAACATCATAATTATCATGACTTAATCATAATCATACATAAAAATCATAAAACACAATAATGGAGAAAAATCTAGATAGGGTGAAGATCCGTTTCTACCCTTTATACAAATACACCTATATTAGAGTAGTTTCCCCTTACCTAAATTTCCAGCAAAAATAACTTGGTTATGGTATTCTTCTTCTTCTCCCTCAAAGGTTTCCTAAGGTTTGCCTCTTGCCTCTTTTCCTCCAAATTCCAATTTCATGTACTGACAAGTTTTGACTACCACTAACCCTTCCTATTAATATTAACTTAATTTTCAAGTTTCTAATTATTCCACCTACCCTTAACTTGTCTCTACTTTCACCAATTTCCCTTATTTTTCCAATATTTCAATCTTCCACTCAAATATCACCATTTTGTATTACTTTATTTATTATTCTATATTTTTACTAATTTTAAAATTAATTAAAAATTCTAATTAATTTCTACCACTCTTCTTAACTCTCACCAATATACCCACTAATACCCCATGCCACATATATTCATCAAATAATAATAAAAACATATTAAATCACTCAAATAATAAAATAAAAATGGAGTTAAATTTAATTAAATGATTTAATTTAACTCGGAGTGTTACAAAAATTGTGTTTTTGGTTTTTGCTGTTCTGGGCGCCTGCGCTTAGCGAGTAAAATTTGTGCTAGGTGAGCCTGCGCTTAGCAAGGACCCAGCAAATCCGCGCTTAGCAAGCGACGGTTGCACTTAGCAAGGATGACAGTGCATAATTGGCTATTTCGAGTCGATTCTTTGACAGAGTTATATTTTGGTGAATGTTTAGTACTGTTAGGTATTGATTAACATTGTTTGGAACTGTTTGATGTTGATTGATGAATTGTTGATTATTTTACATGTTTTTAATAATTAATGTTGACTGACCATGAAAGAGTGGGTTATTGAGATGAGTCGTGTAGGGTCCAGTTTTGTGACTCATTTTCATATGCGGTTGTTGTTTTGATGTTGTTTTGGTGAACTTGTCGAGTTGAGTGATATGTTTAAATATTGTGAATAAGTGAATAATATTTGAAGTGTTTGTATAATTAAATTGTGCATAATAATTATGTTGAGAAGTGTCGTTATGACGAGAACTATTATAGTGGTCTCAATTGGTGTTGTGTATGGTTCAAGGAGGAACCGATGGTGGATATTAAACATGTGTGTTGTTGTTGCATTGTCACATATCATATGTGTCAATCATTGATGTGTGGACTTTGTTCTTGAGATAAGTTATTAGTTTAGAAGTGGAGATCAGTGACGAGCTACTGATTTAGAAGTGGAGATCAATGGCGAGTGAGGTTTGAAGTGGAACTTGATTCAAAGATGAACCATTATTAGTGTGGATGAGATCAGTAATATATCTCTAATGTCCAAATTGATACCACATGCATATAGAGTCGAGTGGTGAATACACTTGCAAATATACCTGCAACGTGATCGAGTAATCATTGTAATTGGTGCATCGTTGTGACTATTATTTATGTGTTTGGTGATTATTGTATATGATACTACCCTTGTTATGTCTTGCACTGTTAATATATTTGAGCGTATTATCCCCCCCTTTTTGTTTGTTTTGTGGTGTTTGTACGTTATAATACAGATACTCACAATGAGCAATAGTTGTTATGAGTTGAAAGATAGTATTAATGTTTTTCTTCGTTTATTTATCGTTTTTCGTTGTTTTAGTTTTTGGTTGTTTTGATCTGTAACACTGGGAACGAGTCATTTTGTTAATGTTTGAATTATTTATTTAATCAAGAACTATATTTTGAAGAGATAATTTAAAGTAATTTTATTTGTTGAGTTTCGCTGCAAGTTTCTTATTTAATTGAAAGAGTATGTATGTTGAGTATGTGTAACACCTTACTTTGAGGAAATATTTAATTATCTTTTATAAATAAAGAGTTGGGATTTTTTTAGGTGTTACAAGAAGTAAAAATATAAATTATATGTTACAATTGTGGAAAGGGAGACATACGAAAATAAATTATAGGTTTCTCAAAAGATAATATTCAAGGGAAAAAGATGAAGGCAGTGGGAAGAAAAAATATACACGATAGTAGTTGCACGTGACTATGATGTATACTTTTTTTTTTATGATGATAATTCCATAAACTTTGCATCTCAAGATTCAACTTAAATTATTGATTCAGGTGTTTGATTCCGTGTTAATCTTAAGTGGGATTTCTTCTCTTATATTGTTGGTGCTTTTTGAAACGATAAATATGAGAAATAAGGGACTTTATGAAATTGTTGATATGAATATGTTTGAGTTGAAAATGGTGTTGGATGCAAGTTTCAATTGAATAATGTGAGGCATGCTCTTGATATCTTCTCAATTTGATTTTGGTTAAAGCCTTAGAAGTTGATGGTTATCACATTTACTTTGACAGTAGTGGCCTATATAAGATCACCAAAGGGTCAATAGTGATACTAAATGAGCAAAATCCCATAACTCTTTATTGGATATATGTAAAGCTGCAAGGAAGAAATGAATGTAATTGAAGATGCATCTAGAATTTTATGACATACACGCGTTGCTTACTTGAGTGAGAAAGGACTGACATTCTTTCATACTTGAAGATTTTGATCTAGCCGAGAAACCAAAATTACATTGATGTTGTGTCTAAACTTGCTAGTAAAAATATTGTTTATGGGGAGATATATAGATTGATGATGAGAATGTAATTAATGACCAAGAAACTTATCGTGGTGACTTAGTTGAAGAGGTTTTACCTGATTCACTGGTTGAGTCTGATGTGATATCCACTTTTCCATCTTATATTTTTACAAGCATGTCATAAGTGTATGGTTAAGTTTCTCTTTTTATTTATGATTTCCTCTCCATTGAAAACTCGGTATTGTAATTGAAAAGAAGAGGCTGTGGGGTTCGGAAGAGCCGAGGTCGATATTTGAGCTCTTTTTGGTGGAGAGATTTACAATCTCTAGACAAAGAGGAAAGAAGGTTTAGTCGAAATTGGTTTGACAACAATCTAATAAGAGTAGTTGGGACGGTTCAGAATCATTTCTTTGGGAGGACCCGCGGCTGGACGGTAGAAGCTTAAAAAGTACATACCCGGAGCTGTACAGGTTGTCTACTGATAAAATTATCATGGTCAAAGATGCGATTAGAGTTGAGGATATGAGATTAGTTTGGAATGGTAACTGGGAGTGCAGTTTAGAAGGAGAAGATCCTTAGTGTTTCTTTGAAGGAAAATATTAAGGACTCGCGGAGATGGCATAAGAATATGTATTCTGTCAAAAACGCTTACTCTTTGATCATGGAGGGATTTGTGGCTCAAGTAGGTGAAGACAGAGATTTAGCTGTAGCATGGAGTAGTCTAATCCCATCGAAGGTTTCGGTCTTGGCTTGGAGAGTATGGCAAAACAAAATTCCCACTAGAGATAACCTAGTCAAGAGAGGCATCTTAGTCGAATCTCAAAACCCATGCCCATTTGGTTGCTGTAGTGAGGAAAGTGTCGCGCACACTTTCTTCGAATGTCCGTTAGCCTGGACTGCATGGAGTGAGGTCCTAAGATGGCTCTCCTTTTCTTCTGTTATACATAATTCTGCATTTCAAAATTTTATCCAATTTGCAGGTTTTTCCATAAGAGGGAGAGTGTTTAAAGATAGAATATCGGTCCTATGGTTCGCGTGCCTTTGGACTATCTGGAAAAGGAGGAACAAACAGATTTTCGGTATCTCGGAGCGTCGAAGAATTCCCAGCATTTTTGACATTCAGGAAACATCCTGGAAGTGGCTAAAGTCAAAGGTTGGAGGTTTCAGTAATTCCTTAAACCAGTTTATCTCATATCCAAAAGAATGCATAGGATGGTGAAGGTTCGGGAACTTGTTGTCTCGGCCAGTTGCTCGTATTATCTTCTGGTGTGGTCCTTGCAGCAGCCTCTCCTTCCTTCAGATATATATTTCCGTTTTAGGCTCTGCTGCTTCGGAGTGGTGCCGGAAGTTTATAGCATTACTGAATTATGGCTCTGCGTTTGTTCTTCAGCAGCAGCTATATTGGAGATTTTTTCCTGTTCTCATTTGTTTTGGTAGGCACCTGACTATGTCTGGTTTTTCAACTTGCATACTATAACAATAACTAAATTATAAGGCAAATGCAATAAGAAATCGGTCACAGGTAGCTTCAAAATATAAACTGATCTCATGAAAAGAACGTCAAAATTGAGTACACAACCGGAGTAATGTATAAGGATGAGAAAAGATTCCTAACACAGGATATGTAATGTATATCAGCTATCTTAGAATCGATGGATTAAGTTTGCTCAAATATGCAGTACAACTTAAATGATACCGATTTTGTTAGCAACATCCAATGCATCATAATCTGGAGTCAACCGAACATAGGCTTTCTTCGTACCATCAGGCCTGCAAAAACAGAACAGATGCGATTAGTATATAAACCGTTAACTGTTAAGTGTTGTACTGTATGCAGACCTAGACACATTGTCATGCACGACAATCACCTGATCAAAGTGTTCACTTTCTTGGCCTGAATGTCATACATTTTCTTCACAGCATCTTTAATTTTCTTCTTGTCAGCACGGAGGTCGACAATAAAAACAAGGGTATTGTTATCTTCAATCTTCTTCATTGCAGACTCGGTAGTTAGAGGAAATTTAAGTATTTGATAGTGGTCCAACTTGTTTCTTGGTGTTGCACTAATGCGAGGATACTTCGGGTTTCTGTCCTTCGACAGAGTCTTTGGCCGGTGAAATGTGACAGTTGTTCTGATCTTCTTTGCTTTCTTCTTAATCACTTGGCCACCTGACTTCACAGCCTTGGCTGTCTTCAAGGCCTGAGCTTTAGGATCAGCTTTTTTCGGTTTGTCCACTGCACAATAATTACAAAAAGTTGTTTCCATGAATTCAATACAAGCATGTTCAAATGCTGCTAAGTACAATAACAACTAAGTCTTGTCCAACTAAAGTGGAGTCGGCTAGATGGATCAACTTCCGCCATAATATTCTATCCAAATGGTCTATCAAAAAACCCTACATTACTATCATCTAATAACATATTATCAACTAAACCACAAATGATAACAAT